AATCGTCATTCTAATCGTGATTTTATTATTTTTTTATTTTCTGCTGTTCGTACTGCGGTTGCCAACAGAATCGTACCGGTACTGTGTTTTGAAAAATGAAAACTAATTKCAATCCGCYATGAAAAAATTGCGACCCGCCATGGACTTTGGAGTTAAGTATCCCAGTCAATAAAAATATGTGTTACTGAAAACAATTACATTTCTCATCCAATAGGAATGGTCGAATTGGTAACTCTTAGGAATGGTGACATCTAATCCTAGTTTTTAACTACCGTAAAAAAGCGTTGCATCGTTCTCGGTACAACCTTTGAGGTTCTGGGGAGTCGGGTAGTACCGAAAAAAAGTACAAATGACCTCGCTCAACGCCACTAATTCTGTTCACGTCCTGGCTKGTACAGGAAAGAGTGCCGCAATGGTAGAAAATGAAGTACAATCTTTGGTCATATTTTACTGTATTTTCTCACAATTACGAACTTTCCTCATAAAAAAGTCTTTCCACTATTTCCACTACGCGGCCCACAAATAAATTTCTCCCTCTCTTTCGATCTGCTCCCATCCAATTTGTGGATAACACAGTATCTATTCAGAATATGCACTCTCATTGCCTCTTTGAAATGTCTAATTAGGTGATTACCCACGACAATTAAATTTAAAGGAAAGGTGAAAAGGCATCGATCTTACATGGAAATCTATTACAATACACCAAACAAAAAATTTTTGCCCGTCTTTTTTTCTCGCAAGGCTCCACCGGCAGAGATAGAGACCAAATCTAATTACCACTCGAATTTTTTTTTGCGCTGACAGACTCATGGATAGCAATTGCAACTATGCGATAGGGACCGATGATGAATCTCTAGACTTCGAATATCCGGGAAGAGGCGTCATATCTTTCAACGGAAACACAAATGGCAGTAGCGATACACATATGCGTATTGGATACACACATTCGAGTATTGGAAATGGCAACGGTCAAAGTTCAARYGCTTTTGGTCGACAACAYAATCAATTTAACACTTCTTTGTATCCTATGCCTGATTTTCCACCATCAAATCCATCTTCCTTTCAGGATTGCCAAATTGGAAAAATGTCYGAACAGCAGCCTAAAGCACCAAATGATGGCACAATGTCCGACGAAACAGACGCGATCTCAAAACTTATGTTAGAMATGTGGGAAAACAAAAAAGGGYCAAACGAATACCTAGGTGACGATACTTCAAAGGCACTAGTCACGAGCGTCGAAAAACTAGTTGCGAAGGAATTATTCGAGATGGAAAATGGCACACGTGAAGCAATGTTGGACGAGTTGCACGGTGTGAAGTCAAGGGCGATWYCGGAATCACCAGAATTGATTGAGGCTGCCCTCAGGGCATTCRATATAGAACTACAAAATCTCGACCACAAGAAAGTAGTTATTAATATTAACCAAGAGCGCCATTCACTTGACCAAGCACACCTTCGCGCCACGATGGACCTTCAAAGCAACTATGTGACGTCGCCAGAATTTCGGATCCGATTCTTACGTGCCGAATTATTTGATGTCAAGAAAGCCGTGATTCGGTACTGCAGAAATCTAAATTATGTGTGGGATTTGTTTGGAGATACTGGTCTTCTGAGACAAATTTATCTTAGTGACTTGAACGAAAATGAAATAAGATACCTCAAAGAAGGTCGAATTCAATGTTTGACGTCGAGAGACAAAATGGGACGACGAATATATTTTGYTTTCGGATTGTATAATCTCCCGATCCGAGAACGAATGAGGGTRGAAATGTATCTAGGATTTGTGGTAACTGGTGACGACGTATCATCCCAAAAATATGGTGGAGTCGTCATTATTTTTGCTTCGTCCGAGGACAAGAAAARGATTMTGTATGATGAAGATGAACGCCAGATCATTTTCAACTTCACTAGAGCTTCACCTATCCGATATACAGGCTTACATTTTTGCATGCCCGACGAGACAATCTATAAAATCSTTAAAACTATTGGCCTCTCGTTAATGACGAGCGATATGCGGGCRACTTTTCGGGTGCACACCGGGAGTCACATGGAATGCAATTATGCTTTGAGCCAATTTGGTATTCCCATAGAAGACATCCCCATATCAGTAAACGGAACTGTCAAGAGTAGATCGTGCCTAAAGATGATCAAGGCTCGAAATGCAGTAGAGGACTACATAAAACAACGATGTTCGTTATTGGAAACCAACTACGTAACAAAAGCTATGGAAGAGCTTTTGATCTTATCACCTTCGGTGCTCAAGGGCTTTCCACCTTCTTGTCCAGGAACAGACTGTCCTGATATTGATTGTATTGTCTTTGGAGATCGAGCGCTCTACAACCATTCCGGTAACGTCGAGTTCCGTGATTACCTTAGACGAAAGCGATACTTACAAACWCAACGAAAAGAGGAAGAAAGGATACGGGATGGAAAACAGAAAASAGAAAAGAAGCGACTTTTTATTGGAGAGTTCTTGGACGRCATAATCGAYGAGACTTCTAAGAGCTATAAGTTTGCGTACTACRACAAGAAGACTGGGTGGTATGCATATATTCCCGTGGACACCCCAGAGAATCGCCTAGAAATTCGAAAGAGGATTTCGCAGATTATACGRGACGAACGCAAACGTGAGAGAGCACTTRAAATCGACACATCAAGCGTTGATTCCGACTACCAAAGTGCAGAAGATAACGACAAAGACGTTCTCTCAGCGGTCTCAAAACTAGGAGTAAACAACAAGCGCTTCAAGACGAACAAAAGTTGCAGWAGCTGTGTCTAGTTTATAAACAACGAAGTTCTACAAGAAATGAAAAGTTATTCGTACTTTCCTAACTTACAATTTATAGAATSCAAGATAGACCAAAAGTCRAAGGCGGAAAATTTCCGGTTCTTTGCCTGCATCGATCCTGACTGGTGCTATTCAACACTGTAATACARTCAACGAGTGATAATCGAAGATGCTCCCCTGCCCCGTGTCACTTAACGTTTGCCTGCGTTTACAGCACTGGGAAAAATAAATGATCCGGGATTTCACCATCCGTCTCTTGAAAAGAAAACTCCGCGACAGGCCGGCGTCCTATATTCGGTACTCTCACGACATTTGCACTCCCCGAAAATTTGTCTCCTTTYGTAGTAATTGTTCTTGCACTTCTTGGTGTTTGATGGGATATCGGTCTTAATCTACTCGTTCTCGGTACAACGCTGAAAGCAGAYGATGTAGAATCGAACGACCCGAWGGACCTTAATTGTTGGATTCGAGAAATGGCATCGCTTAGGAACATTTCATCTTCAATGCTCATCGATCGCTTCGCTKGCGGGGATAGCATATCGRTAGCATCGATGCGGCTTTGCGAAATAGATGCAACGCCAAATTTTATGGGGAAAGAGCATTCACTCGTGTTCGCGTGACCGTTTCGATCGCCACTGCAATTGTTTCGAGTTAAAGTCAGAGTCATCGTTCCTCGTTTGGTTTKTGGCGTCAAGATTTGTGTGTTGAAAAAGGAGGAAATGGTGTGAACAACAGTAATATTTGTCTTGAAATGCTTCGAGATAAAGTTCAGAAGCACCATGCGTCACGGGTTAGAAGAAATGCGTTCTACTGATAATACTGTATTCTACTGATAATATCTGTGCCGTGTTGTTCGAAATGAAGGGAATAGATTGTGGACGAATTCAGGCGAGGATGGAGAGCAATCATATAGAAACACTCCGAGCATGGTACATAGCTTTCCACGGAAGCAACCGTTAGTGGCACTGATAAATACGAAATTTTTGTTCATYGTAACGTATATTTAACGTCTATCTCTCACAAAACCGGTTGAAAGCGTCAATTTTGACACCTTCGTTCTCAATATTGATCTTGGAAAACGAAATCTTCTTACGGTACTGGTTCTCAGWAAGCTCTAGATAAAAGAACATGCTTATGGGAACAAAACGGAAATTATTGCACTCCTCTTTTGATACGAAGTATTTATTGCGTTAATTCGGATCTGCGGTGTGTTACCCTATGATTGAATCTGATGRCAAGGATTGACATACCGGCAACAATCTGTTCCTCAGGTTTAATAGGAAGCAGTAGAGAATGTTCAAAGAATTGGTTCTTTTTAAAAAGAACTATTTTTGATTGCCGTACTATCAGTTCGAAGTTGAAGTAGTCCATGATCTCCAAGCACACGACAGCATACGTCACTCGAATGAAATCCACGTTAGTTTTTAGAAGGAAAATGATTAAGGGGAGGGGAGCGTCAATTTTCTT